AACACAGTTCATGATAAGTCATATATTATTACAAGTTTTTACAAAAGAAAGGGGGTTATGTACAAGTATACTGTTACTCTTGTATTGTATTCTACACTTATCATTCTTTATAGTATATTATGTACAAGTAGGATTTTTTTTGTGGTTGGAACGTATAATAAGTATTTACTCTGTATTCATGAACATATCTTTCATAATATCTACTCAGGTTTCAAAGGAAGTATATATTGGTAAATACCTTTGGATTGATACCAGTACTTACATCTAGATGATTATATAGGTTTTTGAGTATATAGTTGGGACAACTTTCAATATATTTGTAAACTACCTAAATATATTAACCAATAGCCATAATATACATTTACAAAACAGGCTTCATATCTGTAACACATCAAGGGGGCCCACGAACTTTTTATCCATTACACAAAGCACATCATTGCAACTCCTGCACTAAGCCCCGAAGATATATCAGCAATTCCCACCCAGATATGTCAATAATACCAATCTATAAATATCAGCAATACACATACAGATATGTCAACAATACACCTTGAGATGTGAGAAATACCAATTTATAGATATAAGTAATGTCAACAATATCCACCTAGAGATGTCAACAATATCCAACTAGGGATGTCAACAATGCCCAACTAGATATGTCAACAATATCCACCTAGAGATGTCAACAATATCCATCTATAGGTGTAAGAAATACACACCCAGATATGCCAACAATAACTACCCAGAGATGAGGAAACACCCGTCTTTAGGCATCAGTAATGCACATCCAGATATGTCAACAATACCTACTTTAAAAACATGTGAGCAATACCCGCTTACAGTTTGAGAAATACCCATAATACACATGGGGATATATGAGCAGTACACATCTAGAGAAATCAACAATTAACACCTGGAGATGTGAGCAATACACTAGAATAGTCAACGATAATTATCTAGATATGTGAGGCAATACGCTAGAAAAGTGAACAATAAACATCTAGAGATGTAGGCAAATACAATCTAGAAAATTCAACAATTAACCCACGAGTAACTGATATTAAAACATTTTAGTTGTGGACAATACGGTAACCATAGTATCACCCCACTTCTCATTTGAAGGGGGGGGGGGCTGGATGGCCTAATGGTTAGCACGTGCGCGCTGTATCATAAGGTCTGTCATTGGGTCAACTATCGTGCTTTCGATTCCCCGGTTGTACGTGGGTTTTATCCGAGTTCTCCGCCCCCCCCCCGCTAAAGACCCCTACGCGCAAGCGAATTATCAAATAAAATTGATCCATGTGTTAGGTTGTGTCGAGTGGACGTTAAACCCCATTTCTCTCTCATTTGAAGAGTTCACATAGCCGTCAATGCTTATTGTATTCAGACTTACTTTACACAAGAATACATAAATAAACCCTCTAATATTACAATATTCTTCGTTATCAGTGAAGAAAAAAGTTAGAGAACATATATAAATCATTTACATGTATGTTTAAGTATGTGATGTTTGTTTGGAAAAAGTATATGGTTATTATACGAGTGACTGTATATCACAAGCGTCTTATGATAATAATGTTTTCTATACACAATATTCTCACTGATTAACTGATGAGTTTTACATACTCAAGAATTTCCCTTGCAACAGTCTTAAATGCAGTTAATACACTTCTTCTCGTGTTACGCTAGTGAACGTTGACGTTAAAAAGTATACGGCACTTTTAAAGTGGCACAACATTTAATATACACAAGGTTATGCTTTTTTTTTTAGAGAGAGAGAAAAATGGGGTTTAACGTCAATTCGACACAAACTAGGTCATTTCGGGACTAACATATGGTTCAATTTTATTTCAATAATTTGCTTGCGCGTAGGGGTCCTTAGCTGTGGGAGGAAACCGGAGGAATCGAAACTACACCATTTGACTCGGTGAGACCTTATGATACAGCGAGCACGCCCTAAGCATTCGGCTATCATAGTTTGTCACCACGTAAATTGTTATCGGTTATCGCGAATATGCGATATTGTTGTAGACCGAGCATAACTTTTGGGATTCTTCAGTGTTTCAGATCCGACAGAAAAAACCCAACCCAAAACAACAAAAATATTTGTCGTTAGGTTGGACGATCAAACGAGGTTTAAAGAAGAGCGTAAAAGAAGAGTAATCAGAATCGTCGGTATTCGGAAATGAAACGAAGTGAAATTGGATTTTCTGCACAACCCGGCTAATGAAGACGGGCATACTCCATGCATTTGGCTATCGTAATTGTACCTGGACAATGGCGTTTCCGCTTACTCTTCGTCGATTTCCAACTACAAAATGTTCTTTCGAGATCCGCCCATCCTCTCGCATTGCGAACGTAATAGTACATAACAATAAGCACCCGTGACGAAAATAAGTAAAGCCCATTCGATGCAATTTATAATAGTGATCAGGTAATGTACCTTTAAGTATACATGTATATGTTTGTGAATTGGATTCTGCTCTGTTTTCACTCTGTATCTTCCCTACTTTAAGTAGTCTTGTGTAGGAAATACACGTGTAATGTAACTTTGCTTGTAAATATCTTTTATTAGGACATTTTCTGTGTCTTCAATCTTTTGCTTGTTTTGTGACGTCAATAATCATTTTGTTTAGAAAAGGCAATTCTGTGGTAAGTGCTCGAATTTTTTTTCGTTTGTTTTACAAATGATGGTTAACTTTAAAAAAACGACCAGTGGTGTGTGCGTGTGTGTGTTTTTTCGTGAAAAGGAGTATAATAGGGTCGCCTGTCTAGCCTCGTGGGTTTTCTCTGGGCCCTCCGGTATCCCCCCACACACACACACACACACACTGCTAAGGACCCCTACGCGCTAGCGAATTATTGAAATAAATTGAACCATATGTTAGTCCCGAAGTGACCTAGTTTGTGTCGAGTGCAGTGGACGTTAAACCACCCCCTCTCCCTCTCTTTAAAAGCGATCAATTTCTGTACCCGTGTCGTGGTTTGTCTAGGTACCCCGTTTGACTTGGTGCATTATTTTGTTTGAGCTACGAGTAACAAGACCTTAGCTTGACATTTTTGCGAGTGAAATGTTCATAAGACCAAAGTAGACCTAATATCAATATATTTGTTTTTTGAAAATGTAATTAAATAAGGAATACAACAACAATTCAAAGATTTATTGGAACTTTTCAAAGTTCCAATAAATCTTTGAATTGTTTGAAAAGTTTTCTGGCAGAACACCTAATAAAGACTTTGAATAAATCCTGGCGCAACATGATTCATCGGTTCTCGGTTGACGGTTGTTACAAAATACGTTCCATACGAAAAGAGGGAACCAAAAAATTGTATAAGTATACGTAACTGATCCTTTTTCGCTCGTGTACTGGGTATCAAGTCAAACTGAGACACCGGTATGAAAAGTTACTTGCGCCCTTAATTCGGGGCAGTCAACCAAGTAATTCGAAGATTAATATCGTTGCTGATACAGCCTACAAAAATACTTTGTGGTTCATGGGACATTTACGAAGAAATCTCAGTTAACATAAAGTAGCCTAGGCAATAATATCGGCCTACTCTGAGGACTCGGACTTGGTTATTATTATCTGCTCATTACAGATATAATTGACATATTTGTGACAATCATATCCATTACAGGACGACCTAATAGTCTGATTTGATAGATTAGAAGGTGTATAGAGTTGTTGATAATAAATATAATTAATTATATTTGATAATTTATGGCATAATAGATTTATAGAACAAGGTGATTGATATTCTTCATGAAACTATAATCATTAGTAGGTTATATGGCCTTATTTTGTTGTATGACCGAATTAATAACGTTCACCAGATCCTTAATAAGACTCAAATTCCGTGAGATTGTATCAGATTACGTTGGCAAGTATCGAGTCTTTGGATAATACTCATGATTGTACTAATACAAAAGTACAGCAAAAGAAAGTTGGTAACAGTTGTTTGATCAGTGTGTCTTTTTTTTAAAAGAGGCATTATGTAAGATTTAGATAAAGAGTTGGTTATTCTTGCTATAATAGATAATGAAAAATGAATATATTGAAGTTATGAATGTTTGAAGCTTTGACAAGAAATAGCCTGAATGGTGACCGACACTTGTCAATTGACAGTTCATATTCTCGATCGTCAAATACCATTGTCACGACAATAAACGAAGTCTCGATTTTCAGTCCTTCAATCGGCCGTCACCGTGATTGGCGGCAAATATCGTTTAACGTAGATAAGGCCGGCATGGTTTAATCTACTCAATATCTAAGCCACCCGATTGTCTAGAAAGTTGATTATGGGCTCGTCCCGTGAATAAATGTTTAAATAATTATTGATATAACATTCAAAGCCAGAAAAATGGCAGTCCCATATACTGCTTAGTCACGTACAAGTCTGGGGTCAAAACCACGATCCGAAGCGCACGTGTTAGATCACTTGGTCTCCCAATCTTTGTTTTTTTAAAAAACAAAACAAACAAAAGAACTGTTGGGGTTGACCACTGGTCCCCAAATTCAACACGTGTGTGTAAGGAAAATCATGAAAATACAGTACCAGACAAATTTATAATAGAAGGTGGTCGTTCGTCCCCATTATTATGCCACTCATTAAGCTAACTATGGTTACGGGGCCCTTGGGTGAGGAAAGTGTAGGTACTAGTATAAGGTTTCAAAAGAATGTGTCTGGTAAGAATTGTTCCACATATAGCTAACCCAACAAATTTTTGTCAGCTACAAATACAATCTGATAATGCTATGCAGGACAAAATATACCAATTAAGGAAGGTGTGGTCTGTATGAACAGTATGAAACCAAAGGAGTAATAATGTTTATATTTGATCAATAGACATCTAGTAACTATGTATAAAGTATATCTTATTTCATCAGTCTGTACCTGGAAAGCATATAAACACGTAATACATTAGACATTGATACCTTGAGCGCAATACAAATACGTTTGCTATAAGCGACACGTGTTTGTTAAAAAAACTATTCAAAGCAGATGTGCATTGTCATTTAATTGTGAACTAAACAAAATACAAGAAATATTTGGACAATATTGCGTCGCACTTATCAATCTAGTAAAGATAACCACCTGCATTTAGTCAGTTTACTCATTATGGTTTAAGGAGTTCGGCAGTTGTAGGAAAAATTTGCAAATTGGATGCGGTAGCTGTCAGTAATACTGCTGTCATTTCCTCTCGATATAAGCACTGACATTTGTCCAAAATGTTCAATGTTCTCGCTTCTTACTTATAAACATGTCATAATATATACGTTACAAAAGAATACAGTATTGTATGCCATAAAAACATCCGTTCCCCGAAATTTGCACAATTTCCTGGTAACTTATGTAAAAGAACGCACTGTAGTTTAAATAAAAACGTCCATTTCCTGAAATTAATTTTCGAAGAATTCGAGGAGTTACATCATTTCGCTACTGGAAGGTTTCTCGGGTCCTTTCCCTCCTTTTTGATCTTCATAGAATAATCCACTGTTTTATAACCCTGAGTTAAACATCCTAGTGACAAAACGTCTACGTTCTTTATGCAATATTGTTGTAGACTCGCTTGAGTTATTCCTCCACTGGCCTCGATGATTAAATTCGGGAACTGCTTTTTTAGGCTGTTGGCTGATGTGGCTAGCACTTCCGGAGTAACGTTGTCCAGCATTACCACGTCGGCGCCTGACTCGGCAGCTTCCACAGCATCCTCTACGCTCCGACATTCAACTTCTATTTTAGTGCTGAACCCACCGACTACCTTGGCGTCTTTGACGGCTTGTTTTATGCTTCCAGCAGTAAGAATGTGATTGTCTTTGAGCATTATCATGGAGGACAGATCATAACGATGAGTAGAGACACCTCCCACTAAAAGAGCATATTTCTCCACAAGTCGAAAACCGGGGGTCGTTTTCCTCGTACCGGCTATTTCTCCTTTCCATCCTATCGATTGTGCTATTGAGTTGAGTTCTCGGGCGAAAGTAGCAATGCCACTTGCTCTAGACAGTACATTTAATGCCACCCGCTCTCCTAATAAAAGGCGTCTGACTTTTCCTGTGACCGTAGCTATTGTTTGTATAGGTTCCAGTAACGTTCCTTCCGGGAAACACCATTCTATTGTACAATCCAGTTCTTTGAAAATAGCATCTACAAACGGAACGCCTGCTAGAACACCGGCGCTTTTTAGGAGCACCAAAGATGTTTCCATCTTCTCGCCCACCACAAATCCACCATAATCGAAATTCGGCGTGTCCTCTTTCAACCATTCTCGAGATAGATGCTGAAGCGTGATAGGACTTAGTATACAGGCTAAATTAGGGTTGTAAATACCATTCAATATATCCTGGCTAGCCATATTCGACACACTTATTATTAATAACCTTGGTTCTGCTTGAGTACGACCACAGCTGTTTAGCACATTTTCCCTAGAAACGCGGTCCTCACAAAACTACATTCGTCTTCTCTAGTAAAGTCCACTTTGACTGCTGTTACTCGGCGCAAAACTTATGGACTTCCGCTTTGAAGGATGTGCAAGCTAACTACATCTGCCACGTATAGATTTCGTGTTTTAAGGCCTATCTGTCCTGGGTTAAATAATTATGAGAGGTAGATATGAGCTTTAGATAAGCCGGTTATTTATACAGTAGCCTATCGTAAATACCACAATTTGAAGTAGTCAAAGGACCTCTTTATAATACACAACACTGTTAGCGCGTTAACAATCAAAATGACATGCACCTATGGGAAACATTTGCATAAGAAAACACCGGAGTATTTTTCATTTCCATTAAATAAACATCTACATAACAGGAGTAGTATTTAATGTGTAGAATACTAGACTGTCACCATTTCATACGGTTGACATTTTCCCTGTGAATAGGTTATAGTTTATAGACTGACGTGTATTGTCTATTTCACAGTCGAAAATGAATAGCTATACACTATTCTTATTGTATCTCCCTTTAGTACCGTTAATTACACAGTTCATGAATCATGAAGAATAGAAATGCGCAAACTACAATGGCGCGTGTGAATGACTTGCTATAGCGCTTTGCATTAAAAATAAAATATCCACATTGCAGATGTCAATCAAAAATCTACAGCGTAACTGCTTAAATTTCAATTAAATGTGAATAAACACATATACAATGTCAACAAAAATGTTCTCAGCATCCAAACTGACATTTAAAACCATAATCAATTGACCCTACCTCGTTTCGAGCGCATTTTTTTTCTCGGATGTCATTTTTATAAATCATGAAATTTCATCTCTGTTTATTAAAATACGAACTTCTCAATTCGTTTATTAGACATGTACGCCTACACTAAAATGTGGTCTTGTATTGTCGTCACCCCCCATTCGTCCGTCGTCCACAAGAGGTAAAATCCTTTTGATTTTCAACGATTTCCGATCAAATTAAAAATTCTTGTGAACGCACAAGAGGTCAAAATTGTCATCGAGTTGACTTGAAATTGATACAGTGTTTATATTCATGAATAACAGGAACAGCTATGTAGTTATTATTACCGGTATACATGTACATGTTTTGTATAATAAATGTTAGCATTATGAAGAACTAGAACACAATCAAATTTTTATTATCTCTGATAATATTTCATGGGTTGTTATTATTGATCAGTTATTCTTTCGAATGCCCACATTAAAGACCCAATACCACTCTTGTTGTAACAGAATAGTATGCCCCAATCTTTATTCTGGTCAACAAATTATACTATTTTACAATATTCCAATTAATTGATGATACAAATTTCATCTTAACACACCTAATTTAAAAAATAGGTAAAATTCAACTAAATGATTTGAAAAGCCTGACGTAAAGCTTTTCAAATGTGACTTGGATTTAAAAATATTTTTGAACCCTTTGGACAAGTAAAATAGGATTTAATGGATAATTTACACAACAGGTAGGACATTACACATCTAGTACTTAGAATAAGGCTATTTTTTATTTTCTGGAGCTCTCAAGCCAGCAAGAGTGTTATTGTCCCTTTAACAAACGAATATGAAATGAAATGGGGGTTAACGTCCTACTGTTCTGCTCCGACTGGGCTAATGAAGACAGCGGTGCTATGCGGTCTATTCTTATTTCGAATTCCAACTGCCAAGGGTTCTTTTACGTGCACGCTAATGTGTACAATTGGGACCTCGGTTTGTCGTTCCATCCGAACGACTATACACCACTGACAAGGGGGGGGGGGGACCACGCCGATGAACTTTCTCGGCCAACGCAGGAATCAAACACAGGATCCCAGGTTAGCGATTATGCGACAAACGGATAAGGACTTATGTTTCGTTGCCTGGCAACTTAACTTCTGTTATTACAATACGATTTCATTCAAGGCATTCACAGAAATAATGCTTATTACTGCACTTTTGGAAACTTTTTACGCCATAACCGCAACTACATGTACATGGCAGTCTGTAAAAAGTGCTTAATTCGATTTTCTGATGTCAAAATTAACTCGGATTAAAATGTCCGATTTTTGTACAAATAAATTTCAATGAACACAATTTTTTTAAAAAGCGACTTGTATGTGAAATTACGTTGTGTACTGTTGGTGTCTGTCTCGCAGAATGCCAACCAGTGCCAGTATCTCGTCGGTATCTCAGAAGTAAAAGTGGAACTCTTCATTTTGAGAGTCAGAAAACGGAAGCGAGAGACAGACATTGCGCGGATGATAAATATTATTAGAAGAAGTGACAGGTTTTTTTTAAAGATGTAACTGGGTTATATAATTTAATGATATAGCATGGTGTATTTTGGGTGGTATGTATCTACACATTTATTCGATTTCTATTTAAGTCGATAAAACGAAGGTTCTTAATTTTATCCAGTTACAAAAGGAGAATGGGTCATTATCTGCTGTTATTTCTTCCGTCTCAGACACGATGATTAATTTTTGTTTCACATAGCATTATGCTATGCCCATGTGTGGCCAAATTGATCATAGTTCCACAGACAATCAATATTGAAAGCATTATACTCTTGCGGGTGTCCAAAAAGCACAAAATTGTGAGATATTTCAAAAGTTAGATCGGCCTGCAATATTTAAAGAAATGCCGGTATGTGAAATGTGACTAGGTTTTATGTAAAGAGACATTAGTATGAATACATGTATTATAATGTCCATGGTATGAATTAACATTGGAATGGAAAATAAACCCAATCTGATATAAACATTGTATAATTTATTAAATAAGCAGCATATTGTATACCAGTATTTGTATAACATACTCGCAATGTGTGGAATCCAGAAGAAAAATTGAACCCGTCAGTTTGAGTAGCAGTCTACTTGTTCATGAATTGCAATGGTTTGTTTTTGTTTTTTTTACCGAAAGTACATGTTATAAAAATATAGCTTAACAATTTACAATGAAGTCCCTCAAACATGGTAGCCTGTTATATCAGAAACTTTAAAGGATGCATGGCTCTATTCTCTGGAATATTGAAATTGACGAATAAAAAGAAAACATTTATTTGCCAAAATTCACTGAATCACATGGGATTTCATACAATGTAGATGTAAGTCTTACTTTTCACAGTATCTACAGGTACGTTTGTTACTAAAATTTTAGGGTCAAAATATACATCTAATTACCAAAATTTTAGAGTCAAGATATTTTATCCAAGGAGTAATGTTGTTAGGTAAATAACTGCTCCATTAATTCAAATGAGTTAATTAATTATTATTTGAAAGTTTACTTATCTCATGTAATGGTTTACCAGAAAATAATATGTCCATTACCACAATATTTTCTAATTTACTGGGTTACAAGAATCCAAATGCGAGAAGTGATCTTACAGTACACATATAGTATACTATAAGTGCTCTTGCTTACTTCCAAGGATAAAAACTTTTTAATTCCACAGTACAGCTCACACAGAGTTTTGCAACTATGTTCATGTTGGCAAATCTTGACGTTTATTTCAATATGTCCGTTACCTATACTTTGAGAAGCCAATATTTATTTCTGGTGTTTATGAACAAATAAAATTATATGTCAATGGATACTTAGAACTGATGTCTTTAACCTGTTAAGCGTGACATTTTAAAAATGTTAAAGGACAATATTGGTGCCAGTCATTATCACATTTGTGATAGAGCTGGTTAAACACATTCCAAATATAATTTTAAAATGAAAGGTCTTGATTTACTGATCATTTTGGTACCAACTTTATGAAAATTGGACGATTAGGAGGGAAATTATAGCTGTTGCAAGGTTTTTGGCCCACCGGATTGACCCAAAATTTTTGAGTCGGTTAGCCTGAAGTTTGGTTTTTACACTTTTTTCATCCCACTTCACCATTAGACATCAAATGAACGAAATCTGAGATGACTTGTCATTTTTCGGTCGGAAAGTGTGTACACTTGATGTGGAATGCCCCATCAGTCAGTTATATAGAGGTATGACTCGTGTTTTCCTTTGGCGTTCGTCACTTCCGATTCAGGAAACCTGTATTACTCAGCTATCGTAGCAGTGATCTCTGTGTTAAAATTATATTTGGAACGTGTTTAGTTAGTTCTATCACATATGTGATAATGACTGACACCAATATTGTCCTTTAACTACCCTCTATTGTGTAATTAATTTGACGAAGTGACGAAGAACTATGTACTATGTTCTAAGAATAGGTTGGGGAAAATACCTCCAAGGCATTATATTACGCCTTACACACAGTGAGTGGCAGTTGTCCAGGACGTAATATAACATCCTACACATGCTGCGATCGTGGGGGAATTCCCAAGGGATTCCCCCAAGTGATGAACTATGTTCTAAGAATAGGTTGGGGAAAATACCTCCAAGGCGTTATATTATGCCCTACACAGTGAGTTGCAGTTGTCCAGGACGTTATATAACGACCTACGCACTTAACGGGTTAATGCTACATGTATATAAAACCCAAATAGTTAATTATTCATGGTTGGATAATATTGCAAGTAATAAAAATATGACATATTCAAAATGTACGTGGAATTGCCGGCCAATTTGTGACCATGGTAACCTTTCCGAGGTTTAGGAATAGTATAAATAAAAGTCTGCAACGTGAGTCCAATCAGTTTGAATAATTCAGTGCAAAGGAAACTAGTCATTGATACCTGGAATAACCAGGTCTTAATAGCCACTTATATCTCTTTTTTGTTACCTTAGGATGAATTTCATGCATTGTCTTACTACTATAGTGTGTTGTCTAGTCGGTCTATTTTGGGCATCAGTAGAGTGTAGAGTTTGGCATACCTCAATTAGCCAGATATACAGGTAGAAATGGCACCACAGGTGATATCTTAGCCTCTTATTACATCGACACTGTAAATTAAAAACTTTGTGTGAGAATCTATTTATAAAGCCTTTGACCTTGGAGTAACTTAGAACATTCAACTGTAATGCACTGACATCTGATGTGCTGGATTAACCTGTCAGTGTTAACTAGGTAGATATATTTTTCTGATTTTTAGGAATTGTGTTTAAAGTAATTGTGCATTCGCGAATAATCCTCTTAGATATTCTTTTGGTGGTTGTGTCTATGAAGTGATGGTATTGAATTTCCCAATCATCCTTTCAAAGGGATGCACGTGTGCTTACACTGTACAACATGATCCAACAATAGTAATATTATATTTTTGTTTGCATACTCTAATGAATATAATTTATTTTTGGATACGAACATG